AAAGGGGTGGCGTACTGCAGAGATCATCACCTCCACAACAAGTGTTCGGGATCGTGCGGCCGTTCCCACAACTGCCCGGTCAGGAAGGATGGGTGGGTGTGTGATGCCCCCCCATCGAAGCATGCGCCACAGGCATGCCCTCACCTTCCCAAGTGACAGGAGGCCACCCAGGGTGCCATAGGCCCCGTGGCTTCCCGGTCTCAGTTGGGATCACAGGCCACCAGTGCGAGAGTGCACACAGAGGGGGCGAGCCAGCCCCACCAGAGCCACAGCGGAAGGCAGACAGAGCGGGGGGCCTCAGATGGGAGGGGACTTCTCCAGGGTGCCACGGGCACTCCAGAAGGGCGGAAGCATCCCTTTCCCCCGCACCCACCGAGGCAGTGGGAAGACCCCCCAGAGAGACCCAGAGGGGAGGATCCGCCCAGCAAGGGGCGTTCCAAGGGCGGGAAGAACCGCCAGGGCAAGCATCAAGCCCGGGGACAGATGACGGGGGGATCAGACAAAGGTCACACGGAATCCCTAGGGGGGGCAAGCCCCACCTTCCCATGGATGCAGGACATCCCGGAAAGACTGAGGCTCAGACTGGGGTGGACGCCGAGGCCAGTGCCGGGGTCTTCAAAGCCGTCCATCCTGCTGTACGCTGGGAAGGATGATGCGGGGGCCCTGGATGCCTACCTCCATGCCTACAACCCGGCCTTCTCGGAGTACATTTGGGCGGTGGATATCAGGAGAAAGGGTGGAGACCTGGGCCAGGACATGCTGGGCGAGGAGCCTTACTCGACGATGTGCTCCATGTGGCCATGGCGGGTAAGGTCGCATTGGTGGGAGGTGGCCCCAACTGCAGGACGTGGAGCATCCTCAGGTGGTTCCCCAAACCAGGTGGCCCGCCGCCGGTGAGGGGCAGAGCAGAGCAGACCTTGTGGGGCTTAGAGGACTTGGAGCCCCGGGTTATGGAGGACACGGACAATGACAGCGTGCTCATGCTCCGACAGATGTACCTGACCTCGCTGGCCTACAAGGGGCTAGGTCAGCCGCAGGTTGTCCTGGAGCACCCGATGGACCCGATGGAGTGCAGCAAGAGCCCGAGCGCAGCGAGGTGCTCATCGATCTGGGTCACGCGGGCCTACGTTCAATGGGCGAGTGCACTCCACCACTCCCTCATCAAGTTTGATGAGTGCTGCCTGGGCCAGGTGGTTGTGAAGTCCACGGCATTGTCAACGGACCTTCCTCTCCACCATTGGCATGACCTGCGTTGCAACCACGGGTCTCACCCCAGGGGAGAAAAGCTCAACTCCAGTGACCTCAGCCGGTACCCGGAGCAGATGATGCAGGGTCTCGCAGCGGCCATCCTTTGCCGAGCGGGACCCGTCCTGGAGGCGCTGAGGCCGGGGGGCATGGCGCCCCAGACTAGCCCAACGACCCCCCCGAGGCGTCCAAGGGAACCTTCTCCCAGCACGCCGGGGGACAACAAGCGCCAGGAGGCTGAAGGCGGGCCAACAAGCGTTGGCAGGTCTGACCTTGGGCTCACTTCCGGTCTCGGCCTCGGATAATCCAGAGGCTGGGACATCGACACAGAGGACTGGCGAGGTGGATGAACTTGGGGGGGGAACTCTTCCCCTGGATCCCTGGGCACACCAGGGCATGGAGATCTCGGATCGGCCCACCATCCTGCCGATCACGCACGACCCCAATATCTCCGACAAGGTCATGTACCTCCAGATGGCTTTCAAGCAGCGTCCCTTAAGAGACGGTGGAGGAAAGCCCTCATTGGGACGGTTGGCCCCGTGGGCCCGACCGCTGTCCAAAGCAGCAGCGCTGGGGGCCAAGATCTGTGTCCTCACTTCGCCGTGGGAGGACAAGCTCCAGGAGTCGCTCTCGTTGGGGGACGGGTCACATCCCTTCCCGGAGGACCTGCTGGAGGACATCAGGGAGATTCTGGCGCCGGGGGCAGGCCGACCAGCGGACGGCCAACCCTTCTTCCTGGACATCTTGCACAGCGTGGCGCTGCAGGACCCCGACCACCAGTTCCCCCGCGACCTGGAGCAAGGGGTCCCACTGGGGGTCACGGACCCCTGGCCACTCAGGAGCTGAAAGGGGAGGAGCCGGAGTTTTAGGAACTCCCCCACCCAATGGGCAGGGGTAACTACCCCTCGGCGGATCACTTCAGCGAGCTCATCCGGGGCACATTTCTGGAGGAGGTCCCCATGGGCATGGTGGAGGGCCCCTTCAGTAAGGAGGAGGCAGCATCGCGATGTGGCTGCGACAGCGAGGACCTTTGTCCCGGCCCCCTAGCGGGCATCGACGAGGGGGACAAGATCCGCACGATCTACGATGGCTCGGTGGGAGGGGCCAATGACACCATCAGGAACCAGACGGTGGAAAGGACGACGGCTCCGACGGTGCTGGATGGGGTCCAAGCTCTCCATTGGCTACATGCGGCAGCTGCGGAGGGACCCCCCTCTCAGGGTGCCTCTGGCCCCGAGGGGGGGATCGTCAAACC